GTGCAAAAGAATTCTAGAGCAGATCAGTGAACAGATAGGTGAAACCACAAGAGTCTCCTGACAAAGCAGCAAGACCAGTGAGATATCAAGTATGGCCTACCAAAGAAGACAGGAGAACAAACCACATGTGCTATCAGTGTAAGTGATACTTGTACAAGGTACATGCTGTTTTCTCGTGTCAAGACTAGTTTAGATGTCATAATTGAAGTGAAAATTATTTTTGTGGCAGATTTTTATTTGTATTTTCATTGTAGTTCATATAAGAATTCATTTGTTATTTTTTAAAATTTTGTAAACAGTTGATGTTGAAAATGTTGATGTTTATTATAAGTATTCAATACATATTAAAAAGTCAATGCTTTATTTTAGCGATACTTTACTTTCCCATGAAGTATACCTTATGTAATATAATGAAACTCATAAAACTAAAATAAATAATCACTTAATAGAAATACTCCTAAAAGTGTGGATGTTATATACCCACCTAGTGCTCCTTTTTAGGAGATTTAACTTAACATACCTAGGAGGCCAATGTGAGCCTAGTTCCCTCTTTGCTGGCTTTTCTGTCTAGGGTACATTTGTTATGGGTCTTTTTCATATTTCCGAAGTAGAGAGGCAAATCATCTCATATTCAGAATTGTTCCTCAGTGAAAGAAGAAATGTGACATTGATATAATCTGGCTGGGTGATAACTGGAAAAATCAAGTATTTCTTTTCATTGGAAGTTGGCAATATTTTACTCATGTTTCAATTTTGTCATTCTCTACACTTGTGAGACAGAATTCAAGCTAAAGAAAACCTGTGAGAGAAAGGATTTTGGGGGTCTACACATAGGATCTATAATTCTTCCTCCTGAGGGCAAAAGTCATTGCAAAAGAAAAAAAAACATTGTGACCATTTCCCCTGGCACAGGGCGCAATCTGGTGTGATGCTGACAATGTCTGGGTGTCTTGGGGTCCTCAGGGGGACATCTCATGATAATCCTGCCTGTGCTGCCAGTTTGCTCAATTGTTCCATCTCATTGAAGAAGAACCTGTCAAAGTGGCTGATCAGGCTCCTAAAGAGGATGTGTGAGGTGTGGCCTCCGTATGAGGTATCTGGGGGAGGTCTTGGTGGGAGGTCTCTCCATCAGGCCTCTGTGAGAAGGCCCCAGGTGAAAACTCTGTGGTAGGTTCAGTGGCAGGGCCTGTGGGGGCACAGGATGTGCTTGAGAGGTCTGTGGAAGGTCTGTGCAGGCAACCATCCATTGTCTCACTTGGGGCGGCTCTTCGGGAATCTCTGTGCAGGCTCTCTAAGGGCTGACATGAGGACTCAGGGCCTGTGAGGGTCCTGTGAGAAGTCTCTGAGGGAGGTTCCAGAGTATGAAACACTCATGGGGCAGTGAACAGTGTCTGTGTGCTGTCTCTCTAGGAGATCTTTTTGTAGGTCCTCTGGGAGGTCTCTGGAGGTCTACACTGCTGGTTTTGCTGCATCTTATGAAGACTGAGCCACAGAAGGACAAAAGGATGTGTTCCTTCCTGTGTCCCGCCTGGCCCATCTGCTTAGCCAGCTTATGGAGCCTTTCCTGGCAGATGCACTGGGGTCCGTCCAGGTCCTCCACATTCCAGAATACTCCTCATGGAATACAGCAGGAGCCAGGCATAGTTCCTCCTGAGGTCATGGTCCCCAGTGTGTGCCACTTTCTTCTTAGCTCCCAAGGGGCTGGCCCACTCTCTGGCTTAGTGCCCAGCCCCTCCTGTAGGTCCTGGCTCCTCTCTCATGGCTGGGTCCACCCTGCAGGCTGTTCTCCTTGTCTAGGTCAGCCTCCACCCGAGAAATGAGGCTCCTGGAGCTGTGCCTGTGGCTGCCCTCCTTTCCACACATCACAGGACATCTCTCTGGAGAAATGGCTGCTCCTCTCCTTGCCTTTTGAGCCCCTCTGCTTTCTTACAAGGACAGTATCCCAGAGGAAGGGAAACCATGCAGGAAGCAGAGTGAGGGCAGAGTAGAAACGCTTCCTGGGTTAGCCCCTGCTCCTGGCCGTTTGCACGGGTCACTTCCAACCTTCCTTTTTTTTTTTTTTTTTTTTTTTTCCAACTTTCTTGTGTATACACAGCTTGAGTGATGCTTTTCCCTGTGGTCTCTGGAGTAAGGAAGGGCTGGGACTCTGGCAAGACTTGCTTTGTGACCCCAGGGAAGCCCCTTGACCCTTCTAAGTCCCACACACCCAGGAGCAGTCAAACACAAACAAACAAACAAAACAACAAACAAAAACAACAGTGTCAAATAATAAAGGTCACCAAACTTTAAAATCATGATTCAAGTTCCCTTCCTTTTCCTACTCTAGCATTGGAGAGGTGGATAGAGAGGAGCTTATCAAATGTATTAAATAACTTAATCTTCCCCAGTTTGCCTTGCTCTCTCATTAGTCTGGCCTTCTGTGTGGAAGCTAATGTAACAGAAAATGCTCCCCCCCACCTCAGCCAGTATACTTCAGTTTCTTAGTTTCCCAGGTAACAGTCCCTGTTCCGGTTCCAGTTGCTCCTATCCCTTAGAAACGGCTGGTCGCTGTGACGCACACTGTGTAAACCAATCCCCAGTGACAAGGCATTCTGCCTCTGCACTTCCTGCTTGCTTATCCCGTATAAGCCCTAGACCACCAGTGATCAGGGCCTGATATTCTGGGAATGACCCTGATCAGTGCCTGTTGACATAAATAAATCTGCCTCCAAATCCTGGGTGTCATTTCCATGTCATTTCCTTGCTGTTGCACTAAAGGTGGTTTCTCCAGCTTTGTGATGTGGAATCTGAACAGCTGGGACTCTTGGGTGGGGCCAGGATAAGCCCCCTGGCTCCAACACTGTCCTGTTTTTTGTGCTGGTTGATGGCAGACCTATCTCAGGCATGCCTCCTTCCCTGTACCATTCACAGGGTCCTCATGCCCTGAACTCTGATCTTCTCAGTACTTCTCCCACACCCATCCTTGGTCCATGGAGCCTACATGTAAATTTGTGCACACAGTTATTTTCTATTTCATCCACCCAGAACCATGGCCTGGAGGTGAGATAGATGTGAGATAGACTAAGGTAGGGGACCCATGAGCAAGGCCATTGCTTACTTGCGACGGGGTAGACATGGCCCTAAGAGGCCTCCATGACTACTCCCCTCCTAGCGTCCTACACAGAGCTGGATTTCCTGTCCTTACCAGGGCTCTAGAGTGTAAGGAGTGCCAAGGCCCTGGAATGGGACCTCTGAACTTTCCATAAGGCTGGGCCAAGGGTATCTATATTCATCCTAACCTTTGCCAGGAGGAGAAGGGGCTACCCAGGGGCAAGCATCATTTATTCCCCCATGAAGAGATTAAGGGCAAGATTTGTCTGGCCTCAGAACTCAGGGCCCAGTGTCCTCCCGTGCCCACTGCCACCCATTTTGGGGCAGGTGGAGCTTTGTGGCTCTACCCTTGCTGGAGCCTATGGGGGAATTTTTAGCCTAAACTATCTCAGGCCCTGGTCCCTACAGCTCCCTTAAGGTAAGTGGACACTTAGGACAGTGGTTTGAACCTGATCTTGCGGTGGGATCATCCTGTTTCCCTCAGCTGTGAGAGTTTCATTTTGCTCCTGAAATGATGGTATTAGGGAAACTTGAGGATCGGTGGAGGAACTCAGGGCAAGAGCACGTTTGCACCTCTGTGTCACGCTCCACCATACCCCGTCCCCTGTAGATGCCATAGCTCTCAGCAAGCACAGAGCATGCAGAAGCCATTACCCTCTTAGGGGAAGAAACAGGTGTATTGGCAATGGGAATTTTCATGGATGGGTAACATCAGAAAATAATTTTCCTGTAAATAAACTTAATTTTTTCTTTGACATGTCTTTTCCTCCCAGGAAAGAATGGAGAGAAATTTTCTGACTGAGCAGACAGGACACCTTCCTAAAGGAGTTGGTGCATCAGGCAGTACTACCTGTGCCCTGAGGCCGTGGGCACTGTTGGCGCCCGCTGTGAGGGGCTGACTGGGAACACAGGCCGGTTGGAGAGTTCCAGGTGGGGATGCTTACGGCCTTGTTGTTCACTGAGGAACTGTCCAGTTTTGAAGGACTCTTGGTCACTGGGTGCCTCTCCCTGATAGGATAGCTGTGGCATCTGGGAGTGGCTGCACATGCCAGCATTCTCCTGTGCTCTGAGGGTCCAGAAGGCCAGTGGCTGCAGTAAACATGGGACACTGAGCCTTGATCTTCTTCCTCTTTGTGCTGATTTAATCCCAAGGCACAAAGCTCACGCTTAACTAACTTGTTCACTTTGTGCATCAATCCAGCGTCTTGCATGAGCCTGAGTCTCAGCAATTTTGTGGTCCACACTTGAGCTGCTTTTGCCGGTCTCTGGCTCTGCCCAGAGGAGGATGCGGGCTTGCCTTTTCTCCGGGTTTCCTTGTACTCTTTGATTCTTTTCTGGGGAAAAGTCCATAGTAAAAATGTCCTCATGCTTCTTTGGAAGTATCCTTCTGAATGAACTGGTTTCCTTTGTGAAAAGATCTGAAAGTGCTTCTGCTCAAACGTGTCTTTCATTCCCCTGCCTTGGGTGGCTGTGGAGGTCCCAACGTATTCATGTTTTTCTGGGATGGGTCTCCTACTGGCCTCACCGTTAGCCAGAGCAGACACATTGCTCCCTCTCTTCTGTGAGTACTGATGTTTCTGGATCCTGGGCTTGTGCTGCCTCAGGATCCTCTCTCTGTCTGCCTTTAGGTCACCTAACATCTGTGAAGCTCTCCTGTCCCCAAGAGACGTGTTGTGGAGATAGTTGTGGGATGCCACAGAAGACAAATTGTTTGCAGCTTCGAGTCCATCAGTGGAAGAGTCTGGAAACTGCACACCTGGGGCACAGACTTGAGTCTGCTTCACTGACCTCATGTCCCCTCCCTGCTGAAACTCACTCCCGATGCCTGGCTGAAGGCCTGGCTCTCCTCTGTCCTGGAAGACAGGTGTTGCAGGCATCACGGGGACTTCTAGGCTGTGTCTGCTGGTGCCCAGGATGCTTCTTCTCCCAGGCTGTGCCAGTGAGACCGGATGTCAGTCCCTGGGAAGGCTTCCTGCTGCCCTGTCCAGCGGGAAGGTCCTTTAAGGATCTCTGGGCATCACTAGGTGGGATCCCTGTTAGGGCCTTCTCAGTCTCCTTACGCACAGGTGAGGAGAACAGGAGTCTGCCCAGTGTAGGGACAGACTCAGTGAGTGTCACCTTCTGTCTCAGACATGCCTGAGGGGCTTTTCTCCAGGAATGTGGCATCTGTAAGGTCACCTCAAGACACACCTGTGGAAGGGATGGTGGTGGAGCCTCTTCAACTTGAAAAGCTTTATGGCCTTAGTATTCCTGTTTTTCTGGGATGGTGCCCCCTCACCATTATTAGCCAGGGCAGACACGTGGCTCTCTCTCTTCTGTGAGTACTGATGTTTAGGGATCAGTAAGCCTGAGGGCGAGGCCCAGTCCTTTTCTGCTCTAACTTCACCTCCTGCACTTCCTTGCTGCAGCCTTGTAACGTGCACCTCCAGGGTCTTCAGAGTACATAGGTTAAGAGAGGGAAGCTTTTGTGACTCCTGAAGATGACTAGAATTTTGCTGTCTGTGTGGGTGGCCTAAGCTCCATGGGCAGAAAGCAAGGACCGGCGCAATCTCCAAGGGATCCGACCCTCCTGAACCTGCCTTGACTTCACACCCAAATGCATTTTCAGTGTGTCTTCAAGGCGACTCTTGTCATTTCCTACATCGCTGTCTATGATGTTTGGCATCTATTTCTCTGTGCAGAATTTGCCCCTGGAGAGTTTACCGAGCAGATTTCCAAGGCCCTGGAGAGGTCTTTGGGGACCTTACCTAAACTATGGCCCCCATTTCCCGTCCCAGTCCTTCTCTGGCTGGAACTTCACCTCCTGCACTTCCTTGCTGCAGCCGCCAGTGCACATGGAGGAGCACTCTGAGGCGATAGGTTTGTCCTTTGCCTGTCATGTATGAGCGATATCACAGTGAGGTTGTGTGAGTTCTGCAGGTTCCTGGATCTCGCAGGGCACGTCCCATTGGCACTGAATAGGTGACTCTGAATGTGTTACTCCAGTAGTCTCCAGTGCTCCAAGCTGATTGAAAAACCCTTAGGAGGGGTGGCAGAGGCCTAGTGGTTTTTCCAAAGGTTGGGAGTGAAAGGGCGGTAAACATCCTGAGAGCTTTGGACCACTGATTGTGGAGCTCGTCACTCAGGGTCTGTGTTCTTAATAAGGACGCTCCTGGGTGTCGAGTTTCAGCGGGGAGGAGACTGCTCCACAGTCCCTATTGTGGGGTGAATAATGTGGGAGGAAGGGTGGGGGAAAGGATTGGAGATGGGCCTGAGACTGCACCTGACCTAGACGAGGGGTCTGGATCTCGGCAGTGGACAGAATCAAGGGAGGGGCTTGGGGGTCCAGGCAGGAGAGGGGCTGTTGGTACATTTTATCCTGCACTTGAACTAGGGAAAGATTTGAGATTTTGTTGAATAAAAATGGGGGAGGCTGTAGAGGAGAAGATTCTGAGAGATTCAGGCAGCATCCACCAAGGATTTGCTGTGCAGAGAGGGCAGACCCCAGAAAAGCTGGCTCCATATCTTGTGAAATTGGGTCTTCAGACTTTGAGATGTAAGAGTTGGTGAGGGCCAAGCTCCTGTTCTGGCTTCTCTGTTGTGTCTCACCAGGGTTGTGGGGTTGTGGCAGGATGGGGGTGCTATGGTGGTGGGAGGGAAACTGCAAGTGTCCGGGATGAAGTTCCTCCCGGGGGAAGCAGGGGCTCTGGGGGCTGAAAGGCCGTAAGGGATGTGGGTGAGCACACAAGATCCGAGGAGGCTGTGGACCAGCCCAGCGATGGAGAGGCCAGAGGTAGAAGGTGCTGAGTGAGGGGAGAGGGGGCACCATCTACTTGGGACAGAGCGGCAGCCTCCACATGCGGGGCTGTGGCGGGTGGACTTGTGCCCACCGCAGTAGGATATTGTTGCTATAAGCGCTGTTGAGAGCTTCTTTGGTCAGGAAGCCACTTATGGAAGCTGTAATAAACAGGAGGCACAGCTGCAGCCATGGGCAGGGATGAGCCCGTGTGCACCGTAGCCCCTCCCCTGCACCGCACCCCAACCTCACAGTCCTCTTGCTGCCCCTCATCTCAGGGTCTTAACTTCCCCCACTCCCAGGATCTCTCCCTCCTAGGTCAGTCCAGTGCTGCTTGGAGACATCACAGGCCTTGGGAGGAAGGAAGAAAGGGGAAAGTGCTTCGCCTTTTCGGAGGGGAAGTTAGGGTTTCATCCAACTTCTCTGAAACCTGGTAGTTTGCAAACTGTGGGAAGTAGGAAACTGAGGTATAAAGCATGAAGCATAAGGAATGCATTGAGATTTTATAGGGGAGAGAAGGAATTCCTCTTAGAGGACGCCATAGGAGATTTAACTTCAGAACCCAGGCATCACTGTCCTGTGTCCTCCGGCCTTGGCTGATAGTGGTCCCTTGTATACAGATGGGCGGCAGTTCGTCAGTACAAAGTGATTCCACATCTTTCAACATCCGTGATCCTCACAACTGTGCTCTGCTGGATGGATGGGGTCATCTCCCAAGAGAATCAGCCTCAGCCAGTTGTACAGCTGGGCCTCAGTTGGACCTGGAGGGCCCACTTCCTAGTCTAAGCTGTATTGCTTTCCTGCTCTCTGCACTGCCCAATGGGCGGTGTCTCCCCTGGCCAGCACAGGTTCGTTCTGAGCAGGAATCTGAGAAGCATCGTTCCTGCTGACAGCCACCCCTCTCTCAGGGCTCTGTCGCTGACATTTCTGGTCCCTCAGGGACAGACAAAGTCATGCTAGTTCTGTAACCGCAGGACTGAAGTGCAGAGCCTGACCTCTGAGAGCTCCAGTCCTCTTCCTACTCCTGCTCTTCCACCGCATCTGCACTGAACACAGAGAAAGAAGGAAAATAGTGAGAGGCCCAGGCCTGATTCTGCTCTTTATCTCGGACACACTGAGAAACATCAGTATTCATGAATATCATGATAATTGACATTGAATTAATGGAGCCCATGTTTTTTCTTTCCTTTGATCCATATTTGAAATGGATATAAAAATATTTTTGTTGTCCTCCTCCCAGAAACACACAGAGGATTCCTCTGTGAGACTTACCATGGGTATGTTCTCTCCTCTTCTCAGGACTCTTAGACTCATTTCTAGAGCAGCATTGCTACCCTCAGGCAGGATTCTGGGTCCGAGGCAGCTCCAGCCTGTGACAGGAGGTGAGAGCTCAGAGCCCTCAGATCTGCCCAGCTCGGAGCAAAGGCTGGGCCCAGAGGCTCCTGACAGGGGAAGGGGATGATGAACCAGTGCTCAGGGCCTATTTCTCCCCAAAGAGCCTCATCTCTCACGCATCCAATTGTCCTCCACTCGGTCACTGTGCTCTCTTTTACTCTGTCAGCAAACCACACAAATAGTCTTAGAGCATCGGGCAGATGTCCTGCTGTCCTCCTTTGTTTCTGCCCTGGCCCAAAGAAATGATGTTTTATTCTTTCCTGAGATTTTCCTCTCAGCAATCTCTCTTCATCTCTCTTCTTCATTTGGGGAAGTGGAAACTGATAAAAGGAGAGAGAATCATTCTCTGCTGGGCCAAGGCTGAGACTTTCTTATATTTCTGATGCTTTTTCTTTGCCTGGGTGGTGGTAAGGATGGTTGACCCTGGAGCCAGAGCAGTAATAGAAAGAAGAGCCCCAGTCCACACACAAAGGCAAGGATCATATCCATCGCAAAGGTAGTGGAGCTGGGGCTCAGCCATGTGGCGCTAAGGCTTTTCAGAGGAATGAGAAAATTCTCCATCTTCTGAATCGCAGTGTTACTTTCAGGCAACTGAGCCCTGAGAATTCTCTCTGGGGGTAGGGAGAAGTCCCAGGACTGCATGGCAGAGCTGTGGCCTCCTCATCACAAAGGGGTCCTGGGGTCAGGGAGGGGCAGGGAGAAGAAGCTCAGCCACAGCCCTCCCCTCCCCCACTCTCCAGGACAGTGGGTGCTGCACCCTCCTGAGACTTCTGGACCCCTTCTTCTGCCTCCGCTTGCCCATCCTGTCAGAGTCAGAACTTAGTCCATTCAGTCCCCTTGAGAGGCTGATATCACTTGGTATTTTTTTTTTTTTTTCATCCTTTTGCGATCTTAAGCTTCAGGTCTAGTAATTTTATCACCCTTAAAAATGTGATGTTCACTTTGTCATTTGGGCAGTTCTCAGGGATTTTTACTCTCAGGATCTTCATTGTTCTCAACTCCAGCTTTCCCAATCAATATCTTTGTCACAACAATGCAGGGACAGAATTTAAATTTCTTACTCATTTTATTTTTGTAAATTTTCAGTGTGATACTTTTAAGCTTTTATTCTCTTTTTCAATACATACAGTTAATCTTTCAAAATGCATAGTTCTAGGTATGAAATTATTATCAGAATCTGAACTTCCATGGATGTTTTTACATGTTTAGCATTTATAATTCTGCACTTAATAAGGCTTAAACTTCACAAAGAGTTGGCACTACTATATACATGCATAGACATACATACATACCACAAATTAGTGTTTTCAAATCCAGTAATAAATCATGTGCTCATTAGCTATCCAGGAAATGACAATCAAAACTATAAAAAGATAGCTTTCAGGCTGGAGATACAGCTCAGTGGCACAAGTGCCTGCCTTGCAAGCACAAGGTCCTGAGTTCGATTCCCAGTACCTAAAAAAAAGATAGCTTTCACCCCAGGTAGGAGAGCTATTATAAAAAAATTAACAAGTTTTGGCAGGGATGTGGAGAAAGGGGAATGCTCATCTATGGTTGTGGGGATGTGAACTAGCATAACCCTTATGAAGAACAGTATTTAATGTTGCCAAAAATGAAAAAAGATCTACCATATGATCCAGCTATTTATATCATTTCTGGTATCTATCATCTAAAGGAATATTTGCATGCCTCATGCTTTTTGAGGCAGTATGCACAATATCTAAAATGTATTGAAGGAAACTAGGTGCCCATCCATGGGTGAATGAAGAAAATATGGTATATATGCATAATAGAATCCTGTTCAGTCATAAAAATGGAATAAGACCTTGTCATTTACCATAGGGATATAACTGGAGGTCATTATGTTAGATGTGATATGCTAGATGCAGAACTCCAAGAACTGCATGTTCTCTCTCACATGTAGAAATTAAAAAGGAAAATAACCTGGGTGCAGGTTAGCGTGTGTGTGGGGGGTTGTTTTGTTTTGTTTTGGGATGTAAGGTAGTGGTTGCTAGAGCCTGAGAGATGGAGAGGGTGGGTTGAAGGTCTAGACCTGATCAGTGCATGCTGTATGCTTGTATTGAACTGTCACATTGAAAACCATTAATATTTACAATTAACACATGGTAATAAACAAAAAAATTCATCCTTGTAGTGTCTTTGGGTTCTAATCAGAGTGATGGTAGCCTCATAAAATAAATTTGAAAGTATTACCTCTATTTCCCTTTTCAGAAGAGTATGTGAACAGTATTAATTTTCTTTTAAATGTTTGGTAGAATTCCCCATAATCTGTTTTTGTTGGGAAGTGTTTGATACTGATTCAATCCAGCTACTCATTATTTATTTTCCAGATTTTACCTTTCCTCATGTTTCAGTCTTGGTCAGTGTGTGTTTTTAGAAATTTCAACATTTCTCCTAGAAATGTCATTGAATTTGTTGGTGTATAATTGCTCATAGTAGATTGTGTTGATTCTTGTATGTTGATTATTAGGCCACTCTCATTTCTGATTTTATGTAGTTGAGTCTTCTTCCTTTCTTAGCATAGCTGAAGTTTGTCAGCTTTGAGAATCTTTTAAGAAGCAACTTTTGTTGATCTTTTTTTTGCTTTTCTAATCTGTAGTTCACTTCTTTCTGCTCTGCTCTTTTCTATTTTCCTTCTTTCTTTGAGTTTAATTCAAGCTTTTGTTTGTTTGAAGTGTAAAGTTGATGGTTTGTCTGGGATCTTTTGTCATTATGCAGGCATTCATCTACGTAAACTTCCCTCTTCAATTGCTTACTACATTCCCTAAGTTCAGGGTTTTGGTTTTCATTTTGGTTTGTCGCAAGGTACTTTATTTCCCCATAATTTCTTCCTGGACCCAGTAGTTCTTCAGGAGGGTGTGGCTTAATTTCTACGTATTTGTGAATTTTTCATTTTTTCTCCCATTGATGATTTCTAGTTTTATACCTGTGTGGCAAGAACAGATACATGACACTATTTCAGTCTTTGGAAATTTCTTAAGACTTGCTTAGTGGCCAACATGCAATCTGTACTGGACAATGTCCTTTGTATGCTGGGGAAGAATTGTTGTTTGCTGCTTTTGTTTGTAATGGCCTGTAAATGGCTATCAGCTCCATTTGATCTGTAGTATTCTTCAAATTTGCTGTTTCCTCATTGATTTCCTGTGTGAATGGTCTATCCTTTGTTGAAAGTCTGGTATTAAAGTCTCCTTCTGTTGTTGTATTGGCATTCCTTCAGATCGCTTCACATTTGCTTTACATATATTTGGTGCCCAGTGTTGAATACATGTTCATATATGTTTGCAATTGTTATATTCTCTTGATGAATTTGCCCTGTGTCATTATGTAATGACCTCCTTTTTTCATTTGTTACAGTTTCTGTTTGAAAAATCTGTTTTGTTGGATATGCAGATAGCTACTCTTGCTTTGTTGTTGGGTCCATCTCTTCATTTTCAGTCTCTGTGTGTTGTTAAAGGTGAACTGACTTTCTGTCAGCAGCATATTCTGGGGTCATGCTTTAGATTCATTCAGTAAGTGTGCCTTTTGATTGAATACCTACTCAATTAAGATTCAAACTAATTATTTCTAAGTAAGAATTTTGTACTTCCATTTCTTTTCATTCTCTGTTTGCAATCTGTTCATTCTTTTATTGTTCTCTTTCTGTCTTCCACTGAGACTACAGCAGTATATTTTGTTTCTTGGATATATTTTTTGTGTATGTACTCCATTTTTGTGATTATGATAAGACATATAAAATCAGTTACAAATGATTATTTTAAGTGGATAACAACTAAACCTTGATTCTGTAGAAAATTTTCCTCTTACTGTCCCCAGTTTTTAATGCATTCTGTTGTGTTATTCACAGTTGGTATTGCTTATTGGGTAACCATTAGCAAATTGTTATCGCTGCAGTTATGGTTAACACTTTTGTCTTTAAACTTTTATACCAAATTTAAGTGATGCTATTATGTACTTCAACTGGCATAGTGGCACCTGTCTATAGTTCCGGTTCTCTGGTCAGCTGAGGCAAGGGAATTGCAAATTTGAGCACAACCTGGGCAACTTACTGACTCAGGGAGGTCTTGTCTCAAAATAAAAAGTGGGAAAAAAGAAGGAAAAGAAGAAAGAAAGAAAAAATGAAAGAAAGAAAAGAAGGAAGTGCTGTGAATGTAGCTCAGTGTTAAAGGCTCTGGGTTCAATCCTCAGTTTCATATAATACCCTTATGTCTTACAATGCAACATATAGTTATATGCAGTGCAGTACATATATGCAGTGCAGTGCAGTTATATGCAGTGCAGTACTTTGAAAAGGGATTGCTATACTTACATATAGTTTCATTTTACTACTTAGTCCCACTTTGAAAAGGGATTGCTATACTTACATTAGTTTCATTTTACTACTTAGTCTCATTTCATTTCTGGTTGATGAACTCCTTTTAAGCATTTTTTTGTAAGACATGTGTAATATTCATAAAGCCCCTGAGATTTTTTTGGGGGGGGGGTAAGAAATTCCTAAAGTCCTAAAGAAAAGCCATTTAAATTCAAGAACATATTCAAGATTACTTCACCCTATGGAGGGTGAAGTGATCTTATATATCCAAGTTCTAAAGACTCCAACAAAAATGAAAACTAATAAATTCAGTGAATTTGAATGGTGAATTTCAGTCACCCTCTTGCTTTGGAAATACTTATGCGATTGTTCTTGTCACTTTCTGAAGTGGCTCTGGAAGTCTTATTTCATGAGTGTCTCTACAAGGTGTGATCAAAAGTATGGTAAGTGCTGCTGCCAAGTGCCATCGATGGACAGATAAGCTCATAACAATATTATAGGATGTCCTCATCTACCTTATTCAGCAGAACCTACACTGTGTGACTTCTGGGTCTTCCCCAGAGTAAAATGACCAGGATAAAATAAACATTTTGAATAGGTTCAGGATGCCGAGGCAGCCGCATCAACACAACTAAATGCACTCATGAAAGAGGACTTCCAGGACTGCTTCAGAAAGTGGCAAGAATGATGGGATAGTTATTTGAAGCGAGGAGGAGATGAGTTTTGAGGGAGATGAATGGCAATGCATATTTTACTATAATAAATTAAAAGATAAAACTTAAACCTGTATTATTCAGTCGTACCTTGTATGTATCAAAAACTGGAAATGTATATGTCAAGTTTGTTCATGGTGATTATCTCAAAGGCAAATAGGAGCCTTTCTTTTTTTCTTTATATGAATTTGTGTGGTACTTTCTTTCAATAAGCATATATTATGCCTGTGATTAAAATAATGATAAAAGGAAAGAAAAATGTTCATAGCTTTGACTCTAGGAATAAATAAATGAAAAACCACACTAATTTGTGAAAATAGAACTTTTGAAAGCTTTTTATACAGCGATGACAGTGACAACAGATACAGTTTTCATTTATGCTTCACATATGTGTAAGGCAGTTGGGAGACAACAGTGACAAATGAAATATTCTCAGGTTGAGCTAAGGTCCGAGCAGAGAGTCAGTCACACTGTGGAATGGAGGAGTTGCCAGTGTTGGATGAATGAGCGGTTTGCAA